ACTCTAAGGGGGGAGGGAAGGTATAGAAGTGGGGGTCTCTACTGGGGAGGGGGGGAGGTGTACGCGTGGGGGGGGGTCTCTAGGCCCGAGGGGGGGGAATCTCCTCACCTGTCCCAGTTATTATCCCAATAGCCGCAGCCGTTGGCCTTCTCCAACCAGGCGGGCGCGGCCGAGGCGCTGGGCGACGGCAACAGTAGCAGCCCCGGCGGCGGGGGAGGCGGCAGAGGTCCCGTCAGCGAGGCGGCGAGGGACTCCGGGGCGTCCCCGCCGCCCTTCTCCGGCCCTTGCTGAGGCGACGGCGGCTGCTTCCCAAGCGCCACGGCGGAGAAGAGGACGGAGCCGCCCGCCAAGCCGCAGGCCGCGGCGGCCGAGACGGTAACGAGCCGGCGGAACGACATGGTGCCGGGGTGCGTGAGGGGCGGCCGCGCAGCCAACCTTTTCCCGCCGCGGACGGGACGCGGTGCGGGACAAAATTCCTCGGCGTCGTTGAGGGACGGGCGGTGGGGGCGGGCCGTCGAGAGTCGTCCGCTTAAAAGGGAGGGGACGAGATCTGACAGGAGGGGCGGGGACTTTCCGGTGGGCGGGGCTAAAGGAGCCCCCAAGGGACGGGGCTGCCTCGAAAAGCGTCTTCGGCTCTGAGGGGGCGGAGCCACCTTGGAAGGAGAAGATCCCTCCGCCGAAGAGCGGCTGAGTCGTCCCGCAATCCCTCCGCCTTGAAGGGGCTATTTGTGAACAGGGAAAACAGCTTCCTCCAGTCTGGTGGATTCCTGCACCCATCATCCACAGCGGGGTAAAGATGGGAGCGCTAGCGTAAGCCGGGAGCCAGCACGTTGCTCTATGGGTCATTAAAATGCAATAATGCCTAAGGAGGGGGTTGGACTAGATCACACTAGAAGACCTCCAAGGTCCCTTCCTACTCTGTTATTCTATTCTATTCTAATAATTCTATTCTATTCTTTCCTATTCTATTCTTTCCTATGCTATGCTATTCTATTCTAATTATTCTATTCTTTCCTATTCTAGTCTAATCATTCTATTCTATTCTAATTCTTTTCTATTTTATTCTATTCTATTCCTTCCTATTCTATTCTTTCCTATGTTATGCTATTCTATTCTAATAATTCTATTCTATTCTAATGGTTTGAATGCTCCCTTCCCATGCATTGGGCTTCCCCTTCCATGGTGCTTGGCCATGGGCCAGGCTGATGGGAGGTGTAGACCTTTCTGTTCCTCTTAAGACTTGTGTCTATTCTTATGCCAGTGTTTCTTGATTTCAGCAACTTTTAAGATGGGTGGACTTCAACTCCCAGGATTCCCTAGCTGCCATGGAGAATTCTGGGAATTGAAGTCCATGGATTCTGGCCAAGGAGTTCTGGCAGTTGAAGTCCACCCCTCTTAAAAAGATGCTGAGATTGAGAAACAGTGGCCTAAATTCTCCTAATCATTGGAATGGATGGAGAGAAGCAGCTTTAGGCAGGAAGAAAAAATGCCCACCCAGAAAAGCATTAAAGATTAGGATAAATGATTGGTATAATTGTCAATTGCTCCAGCAAATTGGACGTCTAATTTCTAGCCTTGCCAAATTATGTGATTTTATATCTGCATAACCACGTAGATCCATATAAAATGTTGCATGGCTGCTGATAAGAGAACCTTCCAACCGCCATTTGATTTGAGGCTTTTTGCAAGCTGGTTTCCATCCAAACTGTCAAAAAATCCACAATGACTGACTGGCACCAATGCTGATATTTTGGTACGAACAACGGGCATTTCTGTATTGTTACGAACGACGGGCATTTCTGTATTGTAGCAGCAGGGAGAGTAGAATTGGATCTAAAATAGAACCATTTAGATGAGAGAGATAATTGCAGAAGAGCACTGATTTAGGATATTTTTTATATATATATACACAATTAACTGGCACTGAGCAAGCGAGACCATATTGTGTTGAATTCACATTCGTCGGAGGGATTTCCTATGTTCCATATTGATTGGAGAATATGTTCCAGAAACAAAGGCAACTTGAGATATTTTTGAATGATGAAAGTGTATTTTGTACCGTCCATTGTCTGCTTCACAACAATTTTTTCCACATTACTGTATAAAAAGAACAGCTAACCCTGAGTTGGCAACGTTTTCCCAGAGCCTTCTTTCCTTTCAATTAAATTGATTTTAATTTATATCAAAATGGACAGAAAGCAGAATAAGATTATTATTCTCCCAATTCTGTTTGCTGTTTTTTCCCTTTAATTTTTCAGATCTTTAGAGTCAGGATTTGACCGAGGCCCACTGAAAGTCTAGCACTATAGATGCAATCTTCTCCAAACTGTGATGGAGACTGGACTGTCTCTGCTAAAATAACCGCATACAGTGTTGTATGTTGTATAATGCAATACTACACAATCAGTTTCTCATATAGGGCAATGCCCTGGAGCCTCTGGTGAAAATGAAATGGTCCTTTTAAAGGGTAAATATTATGAGCAAGCTGCAGTCTCCATTAATTCTGTTCCTAATTACTTGGCAGCTCCAGCCAATGTTATTTAGAAGCTTTCCTTATTGATACCTTTTAAATTGGTAAATGTTATATCTTGCCATAAGGCTATGTTAGCCTTGCCAAGAGAAATTATACCATGTAATAAATTGTTAAGACTAATTCTTATATGTTGAGACTCTGTATTAGTATTTGTGTATTGGACTGTTCTTTCTATCTATCTATTTATCTTATTTACCTACCTACCTATCCACCTACCTACCTATCCACCTACCTACCTACCTACCTACCTACCTACCTTTCTATCTATCTATCTATCTATCTATCTATCTATCTATCTATCTATCTATCCATCCTATCTATATCAATCCCTATCTCTATCATCTATATCTATCTTTCTCAATCTCTCGTGCATTTATCTATCATCTCTCTCTAATATATTCTTTTTATCTATCTATCTATCTATCTCATTGTCTGCCTCTCTCCCTCTCTATATCTATCTATCTATCTATCTATCTATCTATCTATCTATCTATCTATCTATCCATCCATCCTATCTATATCAATCCCTATCTCTATCATCTATATCTATCTTTCTCAATCTCTCGTGCATTTATCTATCATCTCTCTCTAATATATTCTTTTTATCTATCTATCTCTATCTATCTATCTATCTATCTATCTATCTATCTATCTATCTATCTATCTATCTATCTATCTATCTATAGCAATCTCTATCTCTCATCTATATGTAT